ACCTCTTCCACTGGCCCAACGTGGAGCCAAGCACCAAGTAGACAGATGCCCTGGTAGGGGGGGTGAGCACATTGATAAGGAACCTGCAGCGCAAACCTGGGTTAAAGGGGTTACACAGGATTTTTGTCGGTATTAAACCATTATCACCATAGGGGACCGTGAGGACAGTTAGATGCCAGACCAAAGAGTGCTCGCCAGTAATGTGTCTGGGTGATCAGGTCCCAAGCTGTGGCAAGGGCCTTGGCAATGCAAGGCAAGATGCCACAGGGCCGTAGGAGGTGGTACTCCTCAGGCTGGACCAGAGCAGGGTGTAACCCATCCAATGCACAAAATTGTTAGATAGAGGCCAACAAGCAGGCGAAGATGGGGTCAAATGAACACTGGCAGTGTGTGGTTCCCAGGAGGGAGGCACAGTGGCTGCGGAGTGTTGTGGGCTGTTCGAGGGGTTGTTGAGTCAATAGAAGGAGATAAGGGGGCATGGGAGTGGCTGGTGCCAGGGGCAGGAGGGGAAATCCTGTTGGTGTGAGTGTTGTTGTAGGAGTTGGATGTAGCATGGTTGATGTGTGTTGTAGGATAGAGGCGTGCCTCTGTTCAATGGGTGAGAACAAAGGCATCCTCACCGATAGGGTAGGGTGTGATTGGAAAGGGGTGTGATCCTAAGATGGCTGATGCTCTAGGAGTTGTTGGTGATCATCTGGGGAGTGGGTGTTGTGATCTGCGGAGGATGGTGGTGTGGTTGGTGTGGGTGAAGTGTGGGAGTGGGGAAATGTCTGGGAGGACCTTGGTTGAGTAGAGTAGTGGGTAGACATGGGAAAGTCATGTGGGTGGTAGGTGGGTTGGTGGGAGATTGTATCCTGGAGTGATTGACTGTAGTGTCGTGCTTCAACGCAAGCAATGGGGTTGCTTGTGAGGTGGCGAGATGATTGATGGAGAAGGGTGTATTCAAGGGGCAATGCACTGAGGCACTGTAATCAAGGTTTATATCAAGTTTTTGGGTTGTTGTTGCCACTGGATCAAAGGCTGTGGCAAGTCTTGTGCAGGTATACACTACCTGCAGGAGAGAGATTGTATCAGAGCCAAAGGCTTGTTAGGGATTCTTTTCAGGGATAAACTGGAGAAGTCACGCTATAGCCAGTAGAGACAGTGGTTGGGTTATCAAGGGGTGTTTGTTGGTTGATGGGGTCTGTGTTACTGGTTGACACTGTGTTGTCTCAAAAGGGCTGGTACTCAATCTGGTGAAGGGATGCAAGACATGCAGGAGTCAAGCCAAGATGTGGTAGAGGTACTCGATTCAGGTGGAACTGTGGAAATCACTGGAGAGTCACTCAACAATCAATGAGGAGAGAGAAGGAGTCAGTTATGTATTAATATCTATGCACACCACGCTGCAGTTCTGTCTGGGCTCAATCTTTTGGAGTTCCTGAGGCTGAGTAGAGAGGCAGATAGGAGCAGTGAGGTGGTGTGTTCAATGATGTGTTGCACATTCTAGCCAAACACCTAGAGGGGCAGCTTTTTAGTTGTCATGTTGATTGGGCAAATAAGTAGATGACGACTCAGCTAGGTGGGGGCTTCCCCACCCATTGCCCGCGTCACAAAAGCCACTCCGTGGCCATAGTTTGTTAAACTAACGAGTAATTTACACCCCAGCAGTGTTCCTTGTCAGACTAGGATATTGGCTGCAATATTGAGCCACTGGCAAACGAGCTCAATAAGCCAGCAGCTCGAACAATGTTGAAATCTTGGGCCCAGCTGCAAGGTATCCTATGGAGCCATGGGAAAATCAGGATTGGATTCCATTTTGTTGTCAATCTGCCATGAATTTCTCCGTGGGAAAGGTTCTCCAGCATACCAATCTCAGCACTCAATATGCATTGTAGAGTGGGTGGCTTTGCATGAAGACTGGAGCACTCATCCCAAAGATTCAAAGGAGAATTGTTGACTTGATGGCCACAAAAATGGAGAAGATTTCATTTTTGTAGTCAATGGAAAAGTCAACGCAGTGGTAGAGTAGTGGCCGATTGTTGATTTTAGTAGCACTAGCAGAGGCTTCATTAACAGAAAGCGGAAGTCTTCGCGTCGTTTGCTTCGCGTCATGGTCCCTCGCTCCGTGGATTCAGCCAACGATTCAGGCATCGACCGAATCGATCCGTCGAACGAACAAACAGATGAAACTCGCTGCCGCTGATTCCAGCCTATCCAAACAAGAGGAGCCTGTCATGGTGGATTTGTAGTAGCCATGAAAGAGGAGTAGCCGCTGTAAAGAAAGGGAGATAGCATCATCTTGATAGAGTGAGGGTGGTGGCCGAAGTCATTTGAATCCATTTAGTAAGCTAGGGTTAAGGGTATGGTAATGTGGGGACTGTCACTCTCGTAGCACCGGTACCGGTACTACGTACCGTACAGCATGTGATCTTTTAGTGCCCGATGTCTTACACGTCTCTAGCTAGACTACTGGTACCGGTACTAGCTATTAAATAGTAGCTTGTGCGGGCATGCGTTATGTCAAGGACTCGACTCGACTCGACTCCACTCCACTCCACTCGACTGTCACTCAATCCAGCCTGTTGAACTAGCTAGCTAGTCTAGTCTACCACGACCCCGGTACTGGTACGGTAGCTACGTGTAGTTGTACCGGCACTGGCACCAGTGCTCAAGTACTCACGAAGCCAAGATTCGTACTACTTGTAGTAACAGTACCATATTTCGGAAGCTCAGAACTCATATCTCTTGGCTAGAGGTAGCGTACGCGATACTCGTAGCCAGCCAGCTAGCTAGTACGAATACACAGAAGAAGCAACTGCATCCACAAGATCCATCCCGTTTGTGTTGCCTCATCAGGTGTAGAGTAGGTAGAATATCTACGCCTCATTCATCTTCACTATTACTCCCACTGCATCGAATTAAATGAATTGATTCATTGCAAGGATGGTCAACATGGCAACGTACGCAAATGTGGCATACAAACAAGAAAATGGAACACTAACACTGAATGACAAGGTGTTTCACTACCAAGCCGATGCTCCCAGCAAGACATCGGTGAAATGCAGTTGGGCCCGGGTGGAAAAGCGACAATTGTCTCCAGCATCGAGCAAACAACACATGATCAAACTCTTACTAGTGTCGGGCAAGACGGCCGTCTTTACCATAAAGAATCGACAAATGCTCGAAGATTTGCGCACATCCTGTCAAGCCCACATGGAAGCGGCCAAGGCAGCAAACGCCATTGAAGATCCTAAACGCTCCATACGACAAAGTCAACGTGATACCACTATGGATTCGCAACAACGGAATGCGAGTGTCACTTCGTGGCATGATGAACCCGTCAACGATGAAGACTATTCAAAAAAGAATCTCAATACTTTGTGTTCTCTCATTTGTGCTGGAATGATTTGTTGCATCATTTTGATGTGTATCCAGTTCTTTTTGATTTATTGGTTCCACTTGAAAGAAGACGTTCAAACTATATTCACAGAAACAACGGGTAGTATTATGGAGGATGATCGCAGTCGACCCCCGGATGTCGGAAAAGAATCCCGCTACGGCATTCGCTCGGTTAATCATGAGTGGGATTCCGATGAAGTGTCCCTCCAATATGAATTGTCCGACTATATTATGGACGATTCCGTCAAATTCATTTTATATGACGGACTCGATTGTCGTCGTTCCGATAAGGATATTACCCGGGACAATCAATGGCTCTTTATTTTCCTCAATAATCCCGTGGGAGATGGCGGCGCCAAACTCTACAATGAAGGACGCGGCACTCGCGATTTTGAAGTGCATTTTACACTCAACAAGGGACAAATCACCGATGCACCCTTTTTCACACCTAATGGATTGGATGCCGGACGATTGTCCTTTTGTGTTGGACTTTCCGTGTCCTACAATAAAGTGGATTATTGGGAGTATACTGAAGAAGTGAGTAGTACGGCAGTACAGTCAGTCACTGGATTGCCTTTGTACAAAAGTGGAAAACTGACACTACATTCATGTTTTGTGCACTCTTGTCACAGGTCAACGCCGTCGAGAGAGCTGTTCAAATGGATATCGACTTGTCCGATTTTAGAAGAATTGATGATTTCATCATACGAACCATTGTTCGACCGAAATACTATAGGAGGGAATTATCATCGGGCAGTATTGCTTTGCGTGGTTCCACAGAGTCGATCGATTTCTTGGAGTGGCAAGAAGAAGAAGAAACACAGCAATATTCCATCTAGGGAACCAAGTGGCAAAGGAATAGAGCTGTTGGTGTCGGGACGATTCGATTCGACTCGATTCGATTCGATTCGTCCTGTGTTGTGAAATAGTGGTTGTTTGGTGATGGAAACACCCATAGCATCAGCAAATGGAGCAACCCAAGATGGAGCAAAGTCGCAACGGGCATTTGGCTGAAAACTTGTGTGTGGATGTGGAAAATCGTGAAAGTGAAAAGTCAACTGAAGCAATAATGGCTCAGAAAAGCAATAGTAATATCTTTTGGTGGCTGTGCGGTTGCTTGCTTGCACAGCAAACTGTACAAAATAGCTTTGTTGTTGTGATGCATGCATGCATATTTCTGAAAAGGGGTATTCTCCATACGGTAGCCAAAGCTGTGGCTAGCGTCTACGGTACTAGTGCCTTCGACTTCCCCGCGGACAACTAACCGATCCGCAGGCTTATCCGCGATCCGCGGACCATCGGAGGCACTTTGCGTCTCGTCGTCCGCACGAAAAAGATGTCGACCATGGCCGCCGCAGACCACTCCAGCGCTGCCAATAGTAACAACAGCAAAGAGTAGAGAGTGTGGTGCAAACAGGAGGTGGTTATAGCAGCTGATTGTTTTTAAAAGTTTTCTCGCATAGTTTTCTCGCATACAAGCCAGTTTGTTGTTGTTTGTGATTTTTCAGACGACCAACCTGGATAGCAGGATAACAGGCCGGAATGGGGGGAAGAAGTCACTCCTCTTCCTCTGCAAACGTGTCACGGTGGAGCTGAAGGCAGCTCTTAGTGTTGTTTGTCAAACGGAGACGAGGTATATTGCGTCGAATGTCAGCCTTGTTGTTGCATATGGGAGTCCCAAAATAAACAACTCCATTGTAGCCCTTCTTCTTTTTCGAACACTTCTTGAACGTGCATTCATTCCGCGTGTCGCGACCGCAGATAATACAACGTCTTTTGGCTGGTTGATTGGAGGCGTCTTGCACCCGCTGTGGCTTTGCGTCATGGTATTGATCTGCTGTAAGCGTCTTCTTGGCACCAAAACTGAACACTCCACCACCGCCGACAAAGCTCAATGGGGAAGGATCTTCAGTCGCACCACAACAAACTGTCATCCGCTGCATCTGGCCTGCCAGGTGTTCAGCGCTCAGAAGCACTGATGGCATTCCTCCAATCCGACTTGACATCTCTGATTCGGTGTCATCAATTCCATCCGCTATTATATCTTCTTGCGCAGTTGCTGCAACACCACTGTTGAATGGGTTGTTGTAGCAATCGAAGGACAGCCGATCTGCAAACTCTTCCACGGTGAGTCTTCCATATTGTGGCAATCGATTCTTGATCGCCTTCCAGCAGTCAATGGCAGTAATACCAATGATCGTTGTTACGATTCGGAACCAAGGATTTGTTGTTCGCCAATAGCGTTCAAGTCCCAGAACTGACTGACGAGCATGGTTGTGCATGTCAATGATGTTACTGACACCGAAATAGATGGAGAGGGCCTCCGGCCGTCGGACGCTTCTTTGGCAAACATTTCCATATTGGTCAGGAAACTTCGCCTTGTAAAGTTTTCCTTCCATCGTGGAAGCTGCATCCTTTGTCATCACAAAACAGAGCACTTTCCTCGCATTGTATTTATAGCCAATGGCAACCAGATCAATATTCTTCTCCGGTGTGGTGCACGTCATGACAAGGTGAGAGCCGCTGGGCCACTCTTTCATTTTCTCTTCGATCGCTTTCTTTGGAAACCAACCATGCGATGTTTTTACTGCGGCGATCAACTCATGGCCTTTGCTACTTGTGTCACGGCTTGATCCAATGACATGATTCTTGAATGTGGTGTGGGTATCTGCTTGCTCTGATTTCCGCAGTAGCTTGAGCGACTCGGCAAGCTTGACGCTTCCAAACCATGAGTCGCCAATGATGAGGTGCCTCTGATTATCTCGCTCAAGCTGCAAGCGGTCCTTCGATGCCACTCCACAATTCAAACTCCCAATGGCGAGACGAAGAGAGCATGCAGATGTTCCACCCACCTTGCTATGGAATGGTAGCAATCTCATGGGCTTCGCACCACGCTGGATCTCCAAATAGAGCATGATACCCAATATTGGGATGCAGTGCACTTGAACTCTGTTCCGAGTGGAGTGGGTTTCCGGAAGACAAATGAAAGGAATGGAAGCAAGGATGTTTTGGTGCTCCTTGGTTGGAAAGCACTCATCAACTCATCCATCACTCGAATAAAAGGAGAGACAATGAACTTCTTTCGGTTTGCATTGAAGTCATCGACCAGCTTGGAGACTGGATGCCACGGATCTGCTTGGTTGTTCGGATCATCAAAAGCAAGATAAAACTTTTCTTTGATTCTGCTGAATCGATGCCATGACATGATCTTCTTCCCCTTCTTGCCGGTGGCTTCATCACACTTTGTTTGATTTATTTCCATGTTGACAACTGGTGCAAGTCGGCCGAATGGTTGCTCTTTTTCGAAGAGCTTTTCTCCACCCTTTCGAAGAGGACACGCAACAAGGAGGATGCCAACAAAAATCCACCATTCCCTCTCTGTAGCAATGGAAGAAACAGGAATGTTAGTAACAACTAAAATAGAAACAACAGTTGCAGCACCACTGACCTGACACCAATCCAATTTTCTTCTTGTCTCGATTTCGAATATTGAAGGCAAGCACAGCCAGCGTTGTTTGAATTTTCAATAGCGGCGTTCAAGTTTCGTAGATGTGCTCTCCAATCGCCAGGCCAAAGATGAATAAGCAACATCAACCACGGGTATCTGTAGGTTGGAGAAGCCGTCGCCGAGTCTGCTTCCTGGAAGGCATCATCGAACTTGAAGCCAGCAACACCAACCTTTCGAGCTTCCGGTACAGGAACATCAGGAGTTGAATCCTCAGCAATCGTCCACGTGAACACTCGTTTGTCTTTCACAAGAACGAGACGCCCTGAAGACACTCGCGACTCTGCTGTTTGGCATCCTTCAAAGATAATGGTCCACATTGGTGTTGTGTCGCCTTCTTCTCTACTGCTATCAATGACGAGACCTTTGCGCTTGCGTCCAGACCTTTCTTGGACTTGCTCTCCAATGCCAATCTTCTGCTTTTTCGGCGGCTTGCAGTCGACACTCCAACCAGATTCAACCAGGAGCTCCTTGTCTGCAATGTAGTTGTCCCACTTTGTTTTGTGCTTGTCTTCATCTGTTTCAATTCCACGTGCTTCGATATAATCTCTGGCATTGAATTCGGCCTCTTCAATCACCACGTTGGGATCCACCATAGGGAAAGGAAGGTCTTCTTCCATTTCCTCGTCCGGATCGATACGGGTGTAAAATACTCGTTAGTTTAACAAACTATGGCCACGGAGTGGCTTTTATGACGCGGGCAATTGGTGGGGAAGCCCCCACCTAGCTGAGTCGTCATCCACATAAAATTCTGCACAGTGT